CTAAAGACATAGAGTTCTCCAATGGTCACGCTATCCAGTGTATGCGTGGGAGGATCTGTATGCTTTGACTGGAAGGGTGATTCTATGGTATATACGTTGCTAAAGTAATTCGAGAACACTTGAGCCTTACCAAAGTCGTCCTCCACTAATGATGAAGCAGTACTGTCTCCCCATAGAGCAGGAATATTTCCTTTTCTCCTTGTCCTTTGTTTTATATAGGAATACAAGCGTTTAGGACATTCTATGGATTCCTTAACAAGTTTTCCTTCGGACAATTTTCTAGACTTACGGAGGGTCGAGGCACAAGTATTCCGAGCCTTTCGATACTGAGATTTTGACTCATCAGTCCCCAGTAACCTTAATCTATCCCACATTTTCCTTTTCTTACGGATAAGGATACGGACCTCCCAACTGAACCATGGTGGTGAGTTTTTCGGCCCCTTTGGTATAGTCCAAGGGATGTGGGGTCTGGTAACTTTTAAGTATGAATTTTGAAATGCGTCCCAGGCTGTTTCAATGGAGGACACTGGGTCTATTGTCCAATCTACTAACGGTGCTGAGTGCATGATGTCTGGTATGTTTGCTTTCCAGACGTTAGGTCTGGACTGGACTGACGCGTGCTCGTGACTGGCAGTTATATGGAAGTCGAAAGTTAAAACTGCGTGATCACTTTTACCTAGGGGTGGCTTTCATGAAGCGCGCCAACGGTCAAACTGAGTAAAACCATCTACATTCATATCTTTTAAATTATCAACCCGCCTGAGTAATTTACGACAGTGGGTATTGTATTGATCTTGCCTGTAAACTGGCATGCCTAATGTAACAAACTGTTATTTGAGAATAAATTATTATTATTATTATTATTATTAAAACATGCATTGAGGAAATGATCAAACAGAATGCCGAAGCAATTGATAACTTGGGAGCTGATTGGAAACGAAGAAGAGGAGGAGGATGAGGGAACACAAGTTTTCTGGAATTGTAGGTAGAGATGAGAAGAAGGAATAACAACTGTAAATAACTGGAAAGATTTGTCCAGAACAGAGTTAGATGGTAAAATAATATTGGTTGAAGTGATTTTACTAGCTATCCCAGGTTGTTTCAATAATCTTGTTGAAATGTCCATAATGTTCTTTACATATGTTTCTATGCTAATCATTGGTATAGACCTGCTACAACATCGTAATTTACTCATCCACACGCCGAAACTCAGGTTAGTGGACGGAAACGCTAATTTGTCAGTTTACGTAACTATTTCACCCAGTTTTAGATTATCCCCAGTCACAGTGAAATACACTATCCATATTACCAACAAATGCTTGATAAGTACTCTGAGATATACCAAACGCAACCGAAATTACCATGTGTAACCAGCCATGTTACACATCACGTCACGACTACAAGACCACCTGTATTCTCTAAATCGCACCGACTAGCTCCTGAAAAGCTGAGGTTGGTTAAAAACAAATCCGACCATGTGATAGACTTGGAAAATATTCGACCATCAAATAGCCCAAAGGCATCGCACTTGCATTTGATCCCACAAAAGGGCAGCGACGATGGGCGATTGAATGCAAAAACATTCTCGATTGTTACTTGTTGCTCACATTCGCGACTTGACAGCTACCTTAAAAGGCACAACTGTGTTTTCGAAAATCGACTTGGTCGAAACACAATAAACAAATTTCTATGACCACTGACTACATGCCAAAAACCGCTATCATAACTCCTTTCGGTCTTTACGAATTGTTGTGAATGCCTTTCGGCCAAAGAAATGCTGCTCAGACTTTCAAAAGTTTTATAGATGATGTTTTTCGAGGTCTAAAACTCGTACATGAGTGTGTCGGTGATTGCTTGATAGCAAGTCCGGACAGAGAATCCCATCTTCAGCATCTGGACCTTGTCTTCAAACAACTACGAAATCATGGCACTACTGTAAACATTCAGAAATGCCAAATCGGAACTGACTCCTTAGATTTCCTCGGACACACTTTCGACATTCAAGGTATTCGACCTTTATGAAGCAAAGTGGTGGCCATTCTGGATTATCGAGAACCGATTATAATTGAGCAATTGCGCACGTTTAACGGCCTTGTAAGTTTCTATAGACGGTTTATACTAAACTGCGCGCCCATATGAAACCTCTAACCGACCAACTTCGTAGAAACGCGAAATCAATTTGGATGAGATCGCGAAAAAGGCATTCTCCACATTTAAGGGACTTATAGCCAAAGCAACATCGTTCGCACACCAGGACACCTAAGCACTCATTAGTATAGCAGAAGATGCATCCGACATGGCAATTGGAGGAGCCTTAAAACAATTGGTTAACCACAACCGGCAACCTTTAGAATTTTTCTCGAGAGGGTTGCCAGACATCGAATCGGGGCATAGCACTTTGGGGAGGAACTCCTAGCCATGTATTGTTTTTTATGGCACTTTCAACACTCTATGGAAGACCAGTAATTCACTTTTTTAACTAGTCACAGATCTCTTACTTTCTCTTGAAGCTCATCTTCAGACAAGTACTCCCCTCGAGAGTTTCAACAACTTGACGAAATTTCTCAGTTCGCTTCAGACATACAATCCATTTCTCGGGCGAACAATGTAGTTACAGACGCCTTGTCTCGCATAACTTCCTAGAACATTTTTCAAGGAATCGACCTTCTGAAACTCACTTAGCTTCAAAAACAAGACGCTGACGTTCGGCACGAGCTATATACGACAAATCTGAAACTACTTTTTTAAACAGGTGCGAACAGGTAAGAAAACCTTACTATGTGACACATCTACTGGTAAGGGTCGCTCAGTCGTGCCGAAACATTATTGATACAACGTCTTCAGTACGTTGAGTGAACTTCCTCATCCAGGTGCTCGTGCAACCGTTTAGCTCATGGCAGGAAGACTTTGCTGGCATGGTATGGATAAAGACGTGAGGGAGTGTACGCGCTCCTGTGTAGACTGCCAGAAATCTAGAGTGAGTAGATATAACAAATGTCGCTTTAGCTCTTTCGCTCATACCGACGCTCATATCGACCATGTTCATCTGTATTTGTTGAGACCGCTACTAGATTCGAATGGATAATCAAGTGTAGACTATCTTATTCGATAACCAGAATCAGTACTCAACGAGGAACTTACTTCTGAAACAGTGGCCCGTGACAACGAGTGGCAAAATTCGGCTGCCCTTCAACTATCACTACAGACCGTGGACGCAAGTTCGAATCTGAACTTTTCTGTGCCTGGCTACACTATTAAGAATCACACGATTCCAAACAGCCGCTACCACCCACAAGCAAACCGGTTGATAGAATGCTTTCATCGACAGCTCAAAGCTGCACTCCCAGCCGCAAACGTTTCACAGTGGACGGACGCCCTTCCGCTTATTTTACTCGAAATTCGCAGGACAGTGAAAGCTGACATTGGATACAATGCAGTTCAACTCGTTTATGGAACGACACTTCAACTTCCATGAGATTCGTGGTTATGTAGTGGCATTGGGCCCTAACCACACAATTCTCATAGCTGAACACGAGACAACTAGGTAAGTAGACATTCAACATTTAACGCGTAGAAAAACCCAGCCACGTGGCTTGGTCTTGCTGGCGCGGATTCAAAATGTTACACAAATGGGCTTACGAACGCCATGTGTTCAACTATTCGTTCAACCTCTCCCACAATATAGTATACACGTCTTTGTACGTCGCGACTCACTTCACAGACATCTCAAAATTGGCGTACAAAGGACCCTTCAAGTCTCTTTAGCGTGAACCTAAGTACTATATATTCGATAAGAACTAAACTGACGATAGCATCAGAATGGATCGTCTCAAAGATGCATATTTAAAGTGAAATCATAGTCTTGTTGATTTTCCTTTAATACAATCGAAAGACACAAGTATCAGAATCATGATAACTTACCCTTTCAAGACTGTGCAACACAAAGGACGATATTACAGATATATATTAGTTAAAGTAGATACAAGCTAAAGTAAGACTACCACATGGGCCAGTCCACAGAGTACGATTAAGTGACGCGCGCTGGTTATCCTTGACCTTGACAGGGACCGATGACCGGGTCGATATTCAGTAGTTCAACTGCCGAATGATTTGACTAGGGTTCAGTGACATTTCACTGACTCTACACGGGAAATAAATCCTCAAAATCAATATCTCCGTAAGTCTTCGACATGTGATACTGACCACATTAGTTTTAAGGGGCCCACGTAGCTGAAGGCGCTTGGTCACGCATACGCATCAGATCACGAGTGGATACAACGTGCTACTCATCTTCTACAACTATTAACCAGCTCAGATTAGTCATTTCTCGACAATATCAATATTCCACATAATATATATTTGAGTCTCGTCGCTCTGACTTCTGATTTCCCTGAGATGGCAGGCTTCGACTATAAAAGAGGTTACTGGTCAAAGTGTTGTTAAACGCCGAATAATTGTCGCATTTCTAACTGTATAAAATGTTGCCAAAACTTTCACATGGGAATGTGCTACTGTAGGTTTTATTTAGCCAAAAAACCAGCAGAAAACTTCAATACTCTGTGGATCGGTTGAAGCATTAACACCGTTGGATGCCGACTCAGCAGTCTAATGGTTAAGCGCTCGCAAGGTGTGATCGTGGGTGCGCACTGATGAGGAGTCTCACAACGGGACGAAACGGCCGTCCAGTTTTTCCAGGTTTTCTATAGTGGTCTAGCTTTACTTTACTCATGACTTCAACTATTGAGATTGCTAAAATCTCCACAAAACCCCTTCTGATTCTTTACCTAATGCACAAGTGGTATTATGAGTATGAAACATATATACCAGTTTTATAACCGAATTGTATTAACGTGGCCAATAGGTGGTAGATTAACTAGGTATCTAAAGGTCTATCTTTTCAGAATCTCTTATTCCTTCATAATTCCTCGTGAATGTTATTCGAAACGAGAGTGAACCTCCATAGTATTACAAACTGCAAGGATTGACATAGGTTGATAGACCTCCTATCTTTATTACTGAAGACTGAAGTCTACAACTTGAGGTTAAATGTCCAATCATTTGGGATCAAACTAATGACAAGGATTTGTGGTCGGTTTGAAGGACATCCGAACAACCTAAAGTTTCAGATATCAGTTTGTCCTAATCTCATGCTTATATTATTTCTGATTTTTATTGATTCCTTTAATCATCAAGTATGTCAGTGCTACAGGTGTTGCAAGTGGTGATGGAGGTAGGATTCCAAACTGTTCTCCTTCGGAATGGTGCTTCAAGTCAGCACTTTAGACCGCTTCGTTACTACACGCTTCGCGTTTCACATCTGTGTAACATGAGTAAACAGTGTCCACTGGGATATAGGAGAGATATACAGCGCAACAACAGACGATAGTCAGTGAATACTCGATAAAAGAGGACATGGTGTACCAGCACAAATGAAATTACGCAGTTACTGTGCAAAAAGAAGGGGATGTACAAAGTAGTCTCATACATCATTCCGAAAGCTCAATGTACGCTAGGTTTGCCTATTTTCCAACAAACCGTTTGCCCCTTTTCGACTAGGAATATAATGGGATAGATCCCTATTATCAATATCATGCATAATAATTATAACACTTTTATGTGAATAACCCTTCAGGGCTGCTTTTGGTCCCAAAGTAGCTCGATGAACTCCAAACGACAGTAATGTAACTTCTTGAATCTTGTTAAGACCAAAAGTGTTATAAAACAGTGAAATTTATTAGGTCTAGGTTTTAGAAGTTGGGTTTTTTAATCACGAAAGTAAGCTAATATTTCAGGTGTTATTGCAGTCTTAACCTTGTATTAATATCCCATAATATTACAAATATCTTACTGGCCCTAATCATTTGAAAGACTTTTCATCCATTTATATGCTCATTTACGAAAATAAATAGGATATTACACTATGGATTTTTATGAAAAATCCAACTAACCATATGGCTACAAAGCATTCTTAAAATATAGCTGTTGTCAGTTCATAATGAGAACACTGACTCAGAATTCTAATCCTTAGTTATAGTCCTAGAATGATAGTTCATACATATTTCGTGTTTTTTTTATCAGCTGAATGGTCAAAAATCTTTTGATTGTTTCATGACGATTTCTTGCTTTACGTTTGCCTTGAACTTCAGCGTGTCGTTGAAGATCACTTATAGTTCAGCTCTGCCATCTACTCTAAATTCTCACTTTATTAGTATAACTTTAGAATCCACATGTATTTCTTCGCTAACGTAATAGACAACATCAGTGCATAAATTCACTTGGTTCTAAACAAACATTTCCTTGTTAATGTATTAGTACCTACTGAAGATAAAATTCAGTAATTATGAATGGTAAGGGAACTAGACCCCCCTCAATTTGCTTAAATCCATATCGTCTTGACCCCTTATAATATCACAGTTGATGTAAGGTTGCTTTTGGAATATATATCAAGGTATTGTTATCTAACCCGTAAATGATACATTAAGGATTGCTCTTACTTGTTCGTGATAGTTCACTGAAGTTCTTACATCTTTGAGTAGTCGATGTTCTACATTTTATATATCTACTGTATTTAAGTTACAATCATACTTTTGTTTAATACAATTTCGGATCCCATTGTAAGTCCGAAAAATTAGCTGGAATATTACTGTTCTCATGTCAGGTCCTACAGTCATTCTGTTCTACATCGTTCTATCTTACATTTATCTGTCTATGCAAAGAGAACGAAAAGTCAAGTTGAATATGTCTTTTCTTCCGTGCAATTATTGAAAACATTGGAGCAATGCTTAAGGGAAACGAGAGTTATTGTAATACTAGAAATGGTAGAGAATCACCTGTATAACAAGCTGCTAACCTATCAATATTCCGCTAAGGGATTAGCATACGTGCACTGCTCTATCTCATGCAGTGTTTCACTCCTACGGCTATCTCTGTTATTTAAACAAGTCTCAACTGCCATCATTGTAGAAAATAATTGTTTGAAAGGGTCTTATATAGACGACCCAGTCCTGTCGAATTTTTAACGGCTGATGGAAAGAATAACACGAGTTACAAAATAAACAATAAATAGTCAAGATACAACCAGTATGGGGAGTTTACGGACTAACCAAGCCTCAAATATCAATTATGCCTCTCCTAACCTTTTATTACTTATGTTGGTAAAAAACTATTGAGACTGCTATCAATTACGACTATTTTTTTTGTGAAATAGTATCCCGTACTTGAAAGTAAACACATTTACTTTTATTAGAACAGTAGCTTATTATTTTCAGTGTTTGTAAGTTTTCAACACACCGAATCGAATAATTCGAAAGTTTAACTGCCTACGACTGTTGGGATACAGTTCTTCCTGAATAAATTTAGTTCTGTCAAAAACCTAACAAAATCTGTATATACATTTCTCCGTTTATAGTAAAATTTTCGAATTTGTCTGAAGTCGGGAAGTAAGTACATTGTGTGATATAGGCATCACCATGTTTTGAAACACTAACAGTAAACTAAGTAAATGCATTTTGCTGATTACCATGTGACCTTATTTTACTCGTGATAAGTTTCTATAGTGCTCTCCATTCTTACAAGGTTTACGAAACAGTGTTATTATGAGATCATAGTAAAGGTTTTTTATTAATCCAATTGACTGTTGGTTTTTTGCATGCATATTTGGAACTATGTGTGTTTCGACAAATTGTTTTTCGTTTACCCTTACATTACCATGTTAATGTAGGATAATCAGATGTACAAAAACAGACTAACAACATTTTTCAACAAACATTTCACAAGAACGCCACCTTATACTTTTTTATTTGAAAATTATATTGTCACACCTATTTCGCTTTTTTCCATTGTAAGCAGGACAACTCAAACATTGATTCACGTCTCATTCTCCGACTGACCAGTATTTCTCAAGCATAAAGAAGTATCAGAGTAACTGTTAATTTCAACCATTTAATGAAAGTTCCGTGAGTACAAACATACATGTGGAGAACGTCAGGCGACGAAAGGTCGAAAAAGTCGGATTATGCAACACCCATTAAAGCTCCACACAAATACGAAAAGAGTCATGTTAAGAAACCTCATTTATCAGGGAACCGGTGTAGTGGTGCTCCACTTCAGACACCATCGTCGTCTCACTCCTTTCCTGATATAGATGATGTCTCACTTACAATACTATCTCGTAATAATAAACACTTAAAACAGATTGACAGGACAAAAGTCAGTAATACCGTTCCCAAAACATTGAAAGAAAGTAATAAATCCACACAAGTCATCCGTGCAAAGACCCCGACCAGGGAATTATCTCACATCAGCATTACAAATAAATGCATGACTTCTGGAAATGCTGGCAACAGGAAATCAAAGAAAGTATCTAATTGTAATTTGAAAGTCCCAAGGTCCTCTTTAAATAGTATGAAGTTCAACTCCCCATTTGTAAGAGGATTGGAAGAATTTATAATTACGGATGATGAATCGAAAGTCACAACCCCGTTACGACGTCAGAAAGCTCTTTCCGAAAAGCATATTGAAAGGATAGGTAAACCACATGAAGTGATTAGGACTAAGCGACATACTCCTCTTAAACGCTCTATTTTGAATGAGCGCGCTATCCGCAAGAGTCAGCGAAGTCATTCACTTCCAGCCCCTGTAGGAATTACTTTTGATTCCACTGAATCTCCTAGTGTGACGAAAATCACAGAGGTAACTGACGTATTCAATAGTTTCAGTTTTTTAGTTCCGTACTCCTGATAGCTTTAATAATTCTCTAAAAGAACCCACTTCTTCATCGGAAATCGAAAAGTATCTTGTGAGTGAGTTGATTTCACGATTGGTTACATTCCAAGACAGAGCATATGTAACCCACGCTAATAACCCCTTTCATCTCAAGAGAACAAAGCGACTTGTTTGTGGTTTTCATGAAGTAATCAAACACTTAAGGTTAAAACACATGCGAATTGTCTTTGTGGCCCGCGATCTTGAAGGAAATGCTACCAGTTTCTTATGGCAAGATAAAAGTGAGTATTAGTAATTATTCAGTAATGCTCTCTAGTTGTATAAACGTTTCTTTAGTTGAAAACTCAATGTCTTTTAAGGTCAGTGATGTCGAAGAAGGAAGGGTGAATACTTAGGCTCGCCGTGGCCATCTAATTAGATTCATATTGAACATTTCATGTCTGTATTTTCGGAAAGTTACCGCGAGGTTGTCTGGGTTTTAGTACACAAATAAAAACTGTACTTTTAGTCCCCTCCAAACCTAAATTTCTCAAACGTAAACCAATAAATACCTATCTTATATGTTATTGTACCTGAATATGGTTTCGCGATCACAGATACCAAAGATTAGCTTCTCTCTGGATATTTCTCTAATTGTCGTTAACCTTCTTATTAGATATTCTTCATACTTTCTAGGCTATGACAACTTATTTGGTGGTGAAACGTTTCGCATTGCGTTTGTTCTGGATGATTGCTAATCTCTTTGACACCTTTTTGACCTTAGTTTGGAATCATGTCACATCGTGAGGCCAACTCTGCTCTATGTTTGCGAAATCTTGATTACACGAGTAAAATTGTTTTGGTTTGACATGGTACCCAGGCTATGTATGTAGTAATTCATCAGTTGGCAATTTCCCTAGGAATGGGATGTACTTTACACTTAAATGCAAAGTACTTCTATAAGACCAACAGGAGTTCGTGTTTACACTCACTACTGGTGGCGGACCATTAAAAGTAATCGAAAAATTTGTTTGGGTAATTGCGTTAGTGCTGATAATGTAAGTGATCAGATCAATTTACGTATGGTAAAAGCCAGAATGGCTTATGCTAATCTAAGTCATCTTTGCTGCTGTCATGATGTTAGTATAGCTATAAGAGGTCGGGTTTGCAAAGTCGATGAGGGTAGTTTTGCTCTATCATTGGAAAACCTGAGCTGTACAAGTTTAAGATGTTAAGCGACTCTCTGTGTTCGATCATTGTCTCTGAAGTGCTGTTGATGTTCAGTGACAATGCTGTTGTTTAATGTTGTTCAAGCGCAGTAGTGATAACTCAATTGGTGTTGCCATCCTGAAACATCGGCCTTCGTAGAGCAGACATGTTTTACGAATGTTAACTCGACGGCTTGTACATCGGACCCTGGGACTAACTGGAAAAAGCGAAGAGATGGCCTTTCTAGGATATAGTGCCGGGGTATGAAAGGAAGCTGTTTAAGACTGGCGCCCGTCGGTCCTTCACGACTCCTTGGTTAGGGCCCGAGAGACGATGGGTTTCGTTGGCCTGAAACCTTATCGGACATTATTCCAAATAGAATCCACTGGTCAGCCTGAAATAGTTTTCCTTTACATTATTCATAAATATGAAACGGACTTAACCGAGAGGAGTATTATTCAGATGTATTGTTAACTGAACTGTTTCTTCCATTATATAATAATCTTGATTACCGATAGTTCTCGGCTCTACTACTTCCGCTTTTCCTTTCTTTACAGCTATATGTTTGTGTTGTGTGGTACATTGTATTTTCGGTGCCAACTTATCCCAAATAATATGTATTAAGTAAAATAATGGCTCCCGATTCCAACGGGATAATAGGTAAACGTATGTTAGTAGAAATAGTGGTTAGTCAGTACAGATTCATATTTAACACTTGCTGTAATTAGCCCACACGAACACACCGCTTCCCTCTCGGGCAAAAGGTTTTATCATGAATTGAATGAAACCAATCAGTATCATTTAGTGACGTTAATGTGTGCTTACTATCCATGGCGTACAGCTTATTGACTAATAAATAGTTTCTCATAGGTGGCATTCTGAAAGCACTTTCAATATTCTGACTAATTCTCTTCAGTAATTCTATATTGGTGAGCCTTTTCGATCAAATAATCTGTCCTTTTATTATAATTCTCAGTTACATATGATGAAAAGGAAGCTGAAAATAAGATAGTTCTTAGTGCATTGGAAAAAGTACTCTGTCAGATCTGGGAACTTGCAAAAGAATGTGACCCGCCGGTACCAATAATCATTACCCATACAAGGAAAAAATTAGCACATTTATGTCATAAACCAAGACTTGTATCTGTTGTAGGAATTATAAACGCCGATGGAGCATATGAAGTTGAAAAAAAGCTGTTAGATATGAAATCTGGAGTTAATTTAAGATGTGCAACAAGTCTGGGGACTGCTCAAATAAACACAGTGAATGAGCTCACTGTAGGGAACTCAAACGCTACAATTATCGTAAGTACTTTGGTGATACATTTGATTTTCTTTGCCCAGTTCGTGTATGGTAATAGGGTATTATCTCAACAATAATAAATAATTCCATAGTCCTAAAGAAAATTGCCCAGATATCAACATACTTCAATTTCCTCACGTATGTCCACCCAAAAGTATGCAACACCCAATCCCAAACCTTCCACAGGTTACCGCTATAGGTTGTATGGTAAATTTATCATATGAATATTCTAGTTGTTTCCCCAAAATTAACTGTAAAACCTAATTAGGGATTTTGACCGATTTAGGTACCTTACTTCCAGTAGGTTTTCCGCGGTTTTAAACGTCAATCCACTCACTGGGTTTTAACCCTCAGAATAGTATTACCAGTCCTTAGAAGAAACGATCCTAAGTGTTCTACGCAAGCTTATTTGATGTTACTATATCTCGCTATATATATATATAACAATTATGAAATTTGGTGAGACGTAAATAATTATTTCTTAACACCAAAGAGAAGGCATAATACCGAGAGTAAAGAAAGGATAAACTGTATCGTAACTATCCTATTTAAAATATTTGTTGTTATTGGTTCAAAGCTACACTGCTTAGTATATTTAAATACTAATTCCTGTTGTCATAATTCTATCACCTTGTCAACTGAGAATTCCCTTTAATTTGGGAACTAGTTAAGTCGATCGAACAGCTTGACTAATATCATATTCGAAACTAACCGATATAATCCTTACAATTCTTCAATATACAGGTTACTAAAGTCTTTACGATAATAGATATCTGCAAATACATGTTCTTCGGCCGATCCCACTGAAACAGTTCTACATAACATAACTTTTGAAATTTAGATCTGCGGACCAGAACTCAACACTGTATCAGCAGCTATTCGGCTTCCAGTTTTACTGGGATTGCGATCTTAACTGACATAAAGATTATTAGTAATATGTGATAGTCACACATTTTACTGTAGTAGTTTGAACGGATAGTGTAAAAAAGGCTGTACATCTCATATGTGGCCCTTATTTGTTCACTGAATATTTTGGTGTTTAACGCAATTGAACGTTAATCAGTTAGTAAGTTTCTCTTTACTTTGAAAAACCTGTTATTATCATTACTCCTCACATAAACAGTGTCGTCCGTAGCCAAGTCAATTAAACCTGCGTATTGTAAGTTTCAGTCTCCATATGATTATGGATTATTTTAGGAGAATTACCCACCGAGTATATATCTTACTATCTATATGCCAATACCTCCGTATAATTACATTTTTACTCTGTGGTTTTATTTTCCCAGGAAAAGTTGCGGTGTTCCGTTGAATCTATCAACATTAAGTGATTAGCTTTTGTTTGAAGTCAAATGTCCGTATCTCCCATCACTACCGATGATCGATAAATCCCCTTTTTCCATATTGTACATAGTTTATTTTACTTGTGTATACTTCAGTTGATTTTGTTTCTTCCAAATAAACTGTAAACGACTCTTCCACGTTGATTCTTACTATCGTCTAATAATGCTCAACCCTATTGAACTCAATCATTAAAATAGTTTGTAAGCGTAATTACATGCAGCCTGACAATCCACATTCTGATAAACAAAATATGGTTCGATTTCCGCTATCCAAAATTTAAGATTCAAATGTCTAATTTAGCGATGTATAATATTGTCATATCAGAACGACCGATATATAAGCCCTAGTTAATCACATAATGTTATACTTTCCATCGAAATACGCACTACGAATGAAACATGATTTTATTGAACGTCAAGTGCATCAATGGGATTAGACGTTACTTTGTTACGTGAAATATTTAAGGACCTACACTTTCCGTCTATTTTTCATTTCTTAATAATGTAGATTGTAGGTAAGAAGCTGAGTTTCAAATTTATAATACACAATGCCGAACATTGCTGAAACAACATTCAGGTACTGTATCTTCATTTTTATAACCTTATAGGCTGATGTACCATAGGTTTCTGGGAATAACTGTTGTTGGATCTTCACATGTTTATTGTGAGGTGACTATACTTACAATTATATTTCAGCTTAATTCTTCATGTCAAACGATACCAATGTCAAGTGCAGTCATATTTTGCTATCACAAGATGACTAGATGCTAAACTGCAGCTTAAACTAAGTGTTACGACCATTCAATGAAGGTCTAATTTCCTCAATGATAGGATGGAGTTGATAGCATGTGTTGCGAGTATGATTTGTGGGGGCTGGTATTATGGCGAGCCCACATGTTATCCTAGACCAAAGTCTAGGATCAATCTACTCATTTTTAAGCCATATTTTTACCCTGCCAATTATTCGCTTATTAATCCTGACTGACTTTCTGTATGTGTGTCTGTAACTCATTTTTCGTCTGATTATAAATACTGAGTCACGCTTGGGTAAATCGAATCGACTCACTTGTCTTCTCCATTGCGCCATTTTGTTCTGCTTTCTGATCAACGATTGTGTGGAATACATGTATTCGCAATTCGTTCTCTTATTTGACTTATTTAATTCAGTTATCCACTAATGCGATTTAAGTGGATGACTATATACACGAGGATCGGTGGAATGTTTCGATAACAAGCAGAAAACCATCTTGAAAAGAGCAAGAACAAAGATTCTAGCAGAATAACATGAATTCATTTCATTTCGTAGGTTCTCGTCGTCTGCTTACAACCTTTGGTATTTAAAAGATAATTACATAATGGGTTTAAATTGCTTACATGAGAGGGTTTATATTGAAGAAATATTCGTAAAGTATGACATGGGTGTTTATTTCTAACCCTTTTGAACTGCTGTCACGATTACTGCTCTAGAATATTCTTTCACATTAGGTATATATTTACAATATTCAGTCTATTAATTTCATTTACACCCATATCATACTTTACGAATATTTCTTCAATATAAACCCTCTCATGTAAGTAATTTAAACCCATTATGTAATTATTATCTTTTAAATACCACAGGTTGTAAGCAGATGACGAGAACCTACGAAATAAAATGAATTCATGTTATTCTGCTAGAATCTTTGTTCTTGCTTTTTTCAAAATGATAAAGGGAACTATGTGTATGAGAAAACCATCTACATGGAGTCAAATTTCGAGCCACTTAAGACTTACTGCTAATTTTATACTTAATTATTTTCTACCAATCGATGGGACCCGACCGATGTTCCCGTCAAGACATGTTTGTTTATACGTGGATTTCTTGAGACGGGGTAATCAGGACACTAAGTTTTAACTTCACAATTAAACTATAAGCGTTTTCGAAATCAAACAGTCATTATTTCCTAAATTAGTGAACGGCGAATCCCAACGTTCTGATCAAAACGCGATCCTACAGCAGTGATGTCTTAGAACCACTCAATGCAAAGTATAAACATATAAACCTACATTAAAAATCTTTGTTTACACTGTTCTTAGAAAACTGGAAGTAAGAAAATGCAAAGTGGAAATCTGTACCACAAATTAGTGTGAATAATAAAAAAGAGTATAACAAGCAAAATATGTAACTTATATTTCATTAACCTAGTCCATACGCATTTTCAAGTCGGAAATCGTGACTGCGTCCTTTTCTCTGGAAAATTAAATAGCAAGAAAAGTATCATGATAAGTAGTAAACGACGAGACAATAAAATAATGTTTTTATTGTCTTCAAGAATCTGAGTGATTGGAAAATATCCAAAAGCTACTATACGTACAAACTGCAAGGAATGAGTTTTACGATCCTGAAAGGAAACATATTTCACGAGGATTTAAACTACAAAACTTAGAAGCATAGAAGATCTATTTATTACTGTCTCATAAGAATAAACACTACTACAGTTCAAGTTACCATGGCACATAAGTTCAAGAAAATATTAATTGAGAACCACAAAGACACTCAACGAATCCTTGATTAGCTATAAATTAATGATAGGCAGAATTACATATTTTGATGTGATTGTGATAATCTAATTTATTGGTGAATAACTAACTAATTAGTAGGATATTTGAAGTTTGGCTCTTACAAGCATACTGATGAATACAATATACTTTCTACTTATTAGGCGTTGAAAATTTTATACATGGGACAGTTATCTGCTAAAAACCACCACTTCCCGAAATCTTGTTCCCCATCAAATACTTTTTTTGGTTTACATTTTTCGCACATTAAATTAGCTTACCTATTGGCCCCTACAGCATTAACGTTATATAGGTTCTTATGAAAGTGACGTCTTAACCAGTGGATTAAGGGTTAAACGTTTTATTACTTAAATCAATACTTTCAGCGTAGAATCTCAAAGATCCTAAGCTTGAACCTGTAATTTCACACAAAACTAACACTAACATTCTTGTGATCATTTGGCAATGGTACCCTATATGATGTAGTTATATATGTATATCGTGTTAGTTTACCTGGTGATTTATAATCTAGGTGAATAAAATCCATTTATTAGTCAGTATTAATATGGTTTGATGGGTTTCCTTAGTCCAAACAGACCGAATCCGATCGCAAACACATGGTAAGTAGAAAAGTACGGAAATGGTTAGCCTTACTGCCAGTGACCAAGATCACTGTCTACATATTTGTTTACATCACTCCAGTATCATGCATATGTACACATGACTTGGGTAATACTCAATTCGTTTTTGCCTATAAACCTGCTTATGTATAGTTCCCTCACTCCGAAAAGTTGGTTGCAAAAATGATGGGGAAAGTGTATCGTTAACTGGATTAAACCATACAGTTATCCATGGTAACTACTGTTTTGTGGAAATTTGTACAATTTTCTGGCTGTGGTTTATTTTATCTTTCTAGATATTCACTAATAACTCCTGTTTTAGATTTTCATTCGGGAAAAAATTTTTAACACCAATAAACTTTTGTACAAATCTGATTTGCAATCGACACCATTTTAGAAATTGTCTTAGCGCCCACGACATTGACGATCAATCTACAGCTTCTCAATATCTGATTAGCATTTAGTGACAACTAAATATTATTTTTAAATGTTTTAGATATCAAAATTTCGAGGACATGGCTAGTTACATAAAAAGTACCTAGTTAAGATTTCAAACCCAGAGTATTAGAGACAACTATTGGGCTTCAAAACCGTTTTTGTCAGCAGTACGTTAAATATATGTTCAGTGAGACCGTGCTTAAAACGAACACAAATGTTCTGTATACTGAAAATACTTGCATACAATTTATAACATCAGTTGCAAACACAATTGATATAAGAATACTGTGATCGACTTCAGATAGATTATCAGGCTGGCTTCAGACCTAGTCGTGGCTGCATCGCCCATATATTCACCATTTGTCAGATCCTAGAACATACATGCTTATTGGTGTCCGACAATGGTGGTCTTTCTTCACAGCATTCGACTTGATAGACCGAGAGGTTTTGTGGCAGTGTTTGTCATTGAAAGGCGTACCTCAGAAGTACATAAACCTTGTAAAGGCTTTTTGCTCGAACACTACTAGTGGAGTCAGAGCTTATGGTGAACTGTCATCTGATTTCGCAACCTTGAGTGGTGTCCGAAAAGACTGCTACTACAAATTTGTTTAATTTCATCATAGACCTACTGCTGGAAATAACGCTCGTCGTCTGAATTTTCAGGAATTGATCTCCTATTAGGAGATCCACTTATCGACTTAGAATACGCAGATAATAGTCCTGTTTGGTGAAGACGCTGATTAAAACAGCCTTTTGATAGCACTGGGCAACAATGCCTGGATGTTTGGGATGCGGTTCCCCCTCTCTTTAAATGCAAGTTGTTGCTTCAGGATTGGTCTGCGTCAACACCTGAACTAAGGATAGGCAGTGAGGTAGTCGAACGCGTTGACAACTTCACTTATCTTGAAAGTCTGATCAGCCCTATTGGATTGGTGTCTGACGAAATTTCTGTACGGATTCAAAAGGCTCGTTTGACCTTTCCCAACTTACGTCACCTATGGCGAAGGCGAATATATCTGTCTATTAAAGAACGAGTATACTGTGCAACAGTCTGTTCTGTTCTACTTTACGGCTTCGAAATGTGCCCATTAAGAGTAAAGGGTACTAGTAAGTTACTAATGTTCGATCACATATGTCTTAAAAATATTATTTGTATTTACTGAGATCACTGGGTAAGTAAAAGTGAGGTTAGACGCAGGGGATTGTGGAATGATGGTAAACCAGTTGGTAAGGTTGTGAATCCTCATGGGTTGAGATGGTTGGGCCACGTATTACGCATGCCCGACCACCGAATCCCACATCACGCAAAGCTGACTAGTGTTGGAAATGTATGGAAGTTAGGGGCAGCCAAGACAAAACGTGGCATTATTCCATAAAGTCACTAACTTCTGATCTGAACCATGTTATTAGATGCAGATTACTGGGTTGGAGTTCACGCCACTATCGAAACCAGTGGTTGGAGACTCTGGGTGATATGGCTCAGAATCAATCACGGTGAGTAGGTGTGTACACTTCTCATCTTCATTTAAACCATGAGATTGAAATTTCTTTCTTTCTGTATTATATCCTTATATAGAATCTTTCTTTTATTTATTACTACCATCAAAGTAACTACTATGAATTTGGTGTTCATCGTGTTGGGCTAATGAGGTATCGCCGATTGGACCGACGCATATATGTGCCTGGTCCTATGTTGTAGATGACTGGCCGACTGAGATCACCTAAGACATCAAAACATTTTTTGGAAGCTTCTCTAACAAGAAATATTAAGTTAGTAAAAATATGATTTACTGACGGACTAATAACTGTTGTGTTCGTAGGCAAAATTTAAAACACAATAGCTGATAGCTTTTACCCAATTACAAACCAAATATAAATTGTCTATGTTTAGTTCTTAAAATGCTTAAAATTGGCAAACTTGTCTACCGTGTTACCGCAAAGTGAGTAAGAGGCATGTAAGCGGAATCACAAAAAGATACTTGATCCAGATTTTACTTAAACCGTTAAGTGTTTTTTGAGCGTACTTGACGTGATTTAAGGCATAGTTAAAAATGTTTTGTATGGCTAAAAGGTATTTTCCACTCTAACCGTAATTCTAAACACTAACTCTTAACTCTAACCTTCTCAAACCGTACTCCAAACCCCAACTTTTACCCATCTATTTTAATCCAGATACTTATGCTCAGCCGTTTTGTTTGTCGTAGTAAAGTAAAAAAATTCCTCATGTAAATGTTCACTAGTGATGTCGAAAATGTTTATCTGTTGAAATTTATTACTTTTTATCGTGAACCGCCACGTTACGAAATACTACTCTTTGACTGGTAAGCTGCTCAAGCTCACCAGGATAGTACTTCTTAGCAATAAGTTTCGTGTCATTTTTAAAAAAAAGTAATATGACTTACATTAAATAAACTCGGGCACCCCAACCAGATACAGCGTCGCGATTGAGGGCATTCAAGATGCACTGTGAGATGCACTCAAATAACTCTTTCGAATTCTGAAACAAACAACAAGAGAGGTCAGTGCTTGACTTTGTCATACACGGTTGTCTCGCCTAAGTTGGAGTCTGCCAATACCGTTTTGATTACACACAATCCTAAGGAATTTTACAAGCAAACACTTATTAACAGTTGTGCAAAGCCAGTAGTACCGAGTTTTTCAAATCAGAAGCAAAGATGGATCCAGAAGTTTATTCCATATTAAGGTAGGTTGAGACTAATCGGTCAAAAACATTCAGTAGGACAGTAGTCATCGTAACCGGAGGGGGATTGTTTGACTAACTGGGATAGCGTTTTTTATAATGAACCATTGTAGTACAGATGAATCCCTGGCTAATTAGACGAGTGAAAGGCTAAGTTTGTTTGACTAAAAAGTTCTATGCACCACAATATTTGACGAGATTGGTCCATTTTTTAGCATACCGAGTGAAATCAAGTGACAAACATTTTGCTACGATGATATAAACAGAAAAAAGTACTGAGATAGGAGTGTAGAACCTAGGGTCATATGATTGACGGATTGGCACAAAAAGTGAAGATTTCAAAAACGTACCTAACAAAATTAACTACAAAACTTGATAATTTAGAGGTATTAGACAAAGATTATCGAAGTGGTCCTAAAAGCTCCGTATAAATAATTGGTGACTTATGAGGCCAAGTCACTTTATTTTCTTTCGCTCCACGTTAAAACAAGGAGTATATGAAAAGTAGCGTTGACACTAACAGTCATACACAATCCATCTTTCTAGATTTATTATATTCTACTTATTTAGTTAACCATTCAAAACGTATGGGTAATTTAGACGCATCCATATGTGTGACTGGAGAGTAAATCGTGATGCACAGGAAGATGGCATTAATTCATAACTCGACACCAAAATACAGACTCAAGTAACTACAAAACGTAAAACTACAGAATGAGAATAAATGAATATAATAAAATAGGTAGAGGTACGGTTTAAGAAGATAAGTTTGCTCAAGTCTAGACACTACTTGCTGTTTTGAACCGAAACGTCATATCATGCATTGTGTAACAAAATGGGAGTCAAACACCTACAAAATAATCCGGTCAACTAGATGTGTTTAATGTGGATAAAACATTCACACTACAGTGAGCATGTTCAAAACTAGAAAATGAGATGACTTACCATATTATCCTCCCAAAGTGTTTCACACATCCCATACATTTGTTCTGTACACGTGCCGCTAACAACAAAATCGTTGGCCTCACATACACAGCCGATTAAGTCCATGCATGCAACGTATGGTTTGTTCGTAGTATGGTCAATACCGGCGACTACTGGCTCGACAAAGTATGGTCCAAACCTACACATGTAACTTTATAAGTAACATTACCTGCGCTCGTAAAGCAAGTTAGATAACATGGTAGTTATAGTTTGAGGTTTGATTGTCCTATTCTCACGTAGCTCGTACATGTTTTTTCGGAAAAGCAAACGCTGAAACCTGGTGGACAACATTAATGATTTTTTAATGCTTACACTGTCTGATTATCAGTTGCCAATCCAGGAAACCCTACGTACAGCCGAGGTCCGAGAGGATAAACTTTGGTGAAGTCAGTGGAAATTGTCTGCAAATTAACTCCAAACCTAAGATCACAAGCAATAGCTGCGCAATCTTTGCCAGACATTGCAATGACAGCAGACCCATTGTGAGCTAAGATACTCTTTGAAAATATCACGAAACGAAAAGGTGATTACCATTATGAATATTGAAAAGCTTCGTTATTGAAAAGATTGGTGAGCCTATTTATTTGAAATCACAGTCCAACCCCACGGACAATACACTAAGCTCACAGGTAGAATCTGCCCACCTTTAGTCTGTCCTTCAAACTACCGTAGTAAAACGAATCACGGATATGTAGTGTTCAGTCTTTGTTAAGCCCATTAAATATTTAGCTGTTAACGTTAGATTTGGGAATAATTTGGGTGCTGATGGAACGTGCAGTGCACAATGAACAAGGAAGGTTAACAAGTCAAGGGACAGAGAAAAAAGTGAGTTGACAACCTTTAAGCGCTTAAAATGCATATACTACAAGAATTAAAAATGAAAAGGCATAAGACCAATAAAATCTAGCAGTGTAGACTGGAATTTGACGGCATAATGTTTCGAGTACGTTGCATCCTCTGGATTTGAATATATCGGCATCTGATTTTAAGAAACTAATTCCAACTGTTCTATAAAATCAACAAGGTACCTACTTTGCTTTGGCAACATGACATAATAATAGAAGCTAGACATTTACAGTGAGGAGTGATTTCAACATAAACTAAGATTCCACATAACTCTCACTTAACGTAGTTAAACGTATCACCCAAGTAGGTGAGCGGAAGAAGGAGTAGCAATTGTTTTGATCCTTCAGAAGCAAAAGATGTCATGGTCATTCATTTACGCACGCTGTGCAAAAGGGGAGTATTATCCTGATGATGACGGTCAGGACACTAAGCCAGGGGTTTTTGCGCACTTTTTACATGCTGTGGAAGACATTGTTTTTCGTTATTTATCAGGTATTAACAGCAATTTTTCCGTTCCATGTCAATTTTCGTAATGCTTGTGTTTGGTTCATGGCTTTTACTCCAGTTTATTAGTAGTTTGACGTATTTGTTCCTTACAACCTTGGTGAATATTTAGTCAGCCTAATATGGTTATACATAACAATGCAAATCCAAGCAAGTGAAATTCATCATTTACCAAGTCAAAATTTGACCACAATCAGAGTTTTATGGAAAAATGAGCTCTAAGAACTTCCACATTTTATCCACCTCCCTTATTATGATGTTGGTGAATATGGATGTTGGTAGTTGTTTATTAAATGTAAGTTGAATCAGTTAAGCGTTAAACTATTTGGGAATGTTATATAACTTGTTAATATATAGCCATAGAGAGTTCCATCCATTATAAGCATCATCGGTTTGGCTGAACTGATATATTATTATGTAACGTATCTGCGAAAGAAAAATTATGAATGACAATTGACGTTGATAGCCTTTTCTGCCCGCTTTATGAACATATACAGGTATTGTGTGTTGGGGACGTTAGATCCCCAGAACTCATTTGGGAAAAGACCTAATTTTGTAAGTTTATTTAGAACATTTGAATTTATTGTTTTCGTACCAAAGGCGCTCATGTCACCTTGTTACAGGAGAACTGAAAAATTTGGTGGATCAAAAACTTTTTATTGTATATTATTAATTTATTGTGTTTTTGGGTGTATCTGTTTTACTTAACTTTGGAGCTTGCTTGTTTATATCATTATTTCGGACATTTTGGTTTCCCTTTGTCGTTGGTTTGGTATTTGGTAGTTTTGCTCCGGGAACCTACAAAATTGAAGGTTTGTTTTGTAATTGTTATAATTATTGTTGTTAGAACGACATTTGGGTAGACTATTTTTAAATCGCGAATAAACTTTGGTATCTGAATTGGAATTTGGTTCTATTGTTAATTTGGGTTCGTGAATTGCGAATAGATCGACATACCGTACTTCAGTAAAGGGAACGAGCAAAAACTTGGACGTGACAACCTTCATGTCGTATTTCACAATGGAAAATACTTTAAATGCTATTGGTGCGTTGCATCTTTTAGTATGCTATTTGGCAACTCTCCCCAAAGACGGTTTTGAACTGTATATATACGTTTTGAATTGTGTTTGTTGTTATCGCTCGTTTCTGGCTGTTTGTAGAATATTCTTCCGCATTCCAAGCTTGGACTTCTCGCTTTAGTTAGCCGGGCTGGGACGCGTCAATAGCTAGCTTACTGGTCTTTGGTCACCGAGCCTTGTTTCTCGTTCACAGATTAAGTGAACTCGTGATAGCTGCAACCCTAGCACTGTGTATAACATTATTGTTAGTGCCACATAAATTAGTCACATATTCTCCATAACTAAAGCGATGCGCGTTTGTTTTGATCATGTCTAAACCATGTTCTAATGCATGTTGACGTGTAATATCTAAATGGCGCTTACCAGTTTCTTTGTTAACATCAAAATACCAGGTCAAATTCTGGAAGGGTTGCAAAGTGAAGAGCACCGTTTACAAGTAAGACACTGTAGCGGTAAATAAATCCCAAAAATAATTAACTCTGTAACTCTTCGACATTGGATGCTGACCACATGTTTTAATGGACTCACCTAGCTGAAGGCACTCGGTCATGCATCCACACCAGAGCACGTGTGAGAACGCCGTGCTCAACATCTACTGCAATCGCTAGCCAGATTAGATCAGACGATTCTCGATATATTGACAGTCAACAAATATATCTTCCGATCTCCTCGATTCTGTTTTTTGTTTTCTCTTGGTGGGTACGAGTTCTATTACAAGGTATTACTGGTTAAAGCGTTGTCAAACATTGAATACCTGTGCCATCTTCAATGATGAGCCTGACGTGATCTGGTACACTAAATCATAACCTGTGAGTCTGTTCCCCTTTGGGATTCTATATATTATTGCTTTTTGGATACATGTATATTTTTTTCCCTCGTTCATTATCGTACTTCATATTTCATCATGACTGAACAGACACCCAAAGAACTTAAGCCTTAGGCTTTGTCCCCACCTTCGTTTCAACCGACGCCCTTTTGGTCAGACCACATCGAAGCCTGGTTTTGCTACGCAGAAGCTGACTTCTCCGAGCACGGCGTGATCGACACACGTGCACAATTCCTCGCAGTAGTCAAGGCACTACCGCGCTAATTCAACAGGTGCGTAACACCTAGTATGTTTGCTAGTGACGTTTCGGAACCCTAAGAAACACTGAAACGTTCTGTTCATAAACGCGGAGACCTAACCGATCGACAAAGGTTAGACTAACTCCTTAATAACACAGACCTGCAACACGGTTCTGCGACAGACATGTTGCAACGCATGAGAGAGGTTATCGGCCGAAGAACCTTCGACGATGGCCTATTCAAACAACTTTTCTTATTCAATCTTCCTCAACAGGTGTAAGCTGTGCTTGTCTCGTTCCACAACAACGCCTTAGACGAGCTACCTGCATCTGCCGACCGCATTTTAGAAATAACGAAATCTTCTACTAACGAGGATTTTTCAGTAAAAGAAAGGCCTCAAACGTACCAGAATGATATAACAGAGTTATGTCATACACTTACACGTTATCTCAATTTTCGTAAGAACCGTAAGCGATCACACACCCCACGAAGAAGCACTTCACGTAAGCGATCTGTCTCTAGACCAAGAGAGACAGATAACCCCGACTGATGCTGGTATCATAACCAGTATGGGAAGTCTTCCAGAAATTGCAGAAAACCCTGCAATTTTCCCAACTCAAAACCGACCGACTCGAAAAACAACTCGGGAAAATTCCAAGCCGGCACGTGTTAACGGTAACCGTAGCCGGCGAACATAGCCGTCTGTTATACGTCACAGATGTGACTACGAGAGTTCGCTACCTCGTCGACACTGGCACAGAAGTTAGCGTTCTCCCACAGAGTTCTAACGACCGGCCTTACGAATCGGCTTTAAACTTACAGGCGGCAAACGGAAGGTCTATCGCTACGTATGGCAAAAGGTACGTTTACCTTAACGTGGGTTTACGCAAACCCATTCACTGGATCTTCGTTGTTGCAGATGTTTCTATGCCAATCATTGGAATGGACCTTCTACAACACCATAATCTAATCATCAATACGCGCAAACGGAGGCTAGTAGACAGAAACACTAATCTATTCGTTTGCGTAACTTCGTTTTCTGGTTGCAGATTATCCCCAGTCACAATTAAGCATATGATAGACCCACTTTATCAACCACTACTCGATAAGTATCCTGGAATACACCAAATTCAACCGACATTGCCATGTGTAACCAGCAACGTTGCACATCACATCACGACTACGGGACCACCTGTATTCAATAAAGCATGACGACTAGCCCCCAAAAAGCTAAGGTTGGCGAGAAACGAGTTCGACCACATGATAGAATTAGGTATCATACGACTGTCACATAGCCCATATGCATCTCCGTTGCACGTGGTCCCTAAAAAGGACAGCAACGATTTAACAGCTACCATGAGAGGTACAACTGTCTTTTCGGAAATAGACTTAGTTAAAGCGTATAACCAAATCCCTATGGCTACTGACGACATTTCGAAAACAGCTATCATGACTCCCTTTGGACTCTATGAATTCCAAAGGTTCATAGACGATTTTTTTCGAGGTCTCAACTTCGTACACGCGTATGTTGACGACAGCCTAATCGCAAGTCCGGACAGAGAATCACATCTCAAGCATCTTGATCTTGTTTTCGAACGACTACAAAAACATGGCATTACTGTAAACGTTCAGAAATGCCAAATCGAGACCGACTCGTTAGACTTCCTAGGACACACTATAGATGCTTAAGGCATTCAACCCCTTAGGACCAAAGTGGCGGCAATTCTGGATTACCCAGAACTGACCACCATCAAGCAACTACGAACGTTTAACGGCCTTGTAAGTTTCTATAAACGATTCATACCTAAATGCGCGTTACTCATGAAACCACTTACCGACCAACTTCGTGGAAATGCAAAATCCATTAATTTGAACGTCACCGCACGTAAAGCATTCTTCACAATTAAGGAACTTATCGCTAATGCAACAATGCCTGCTAATCAGGACACCGAAGCACCCATTAGTATCGCAGTAGACGCATCCGACTCGACAATCAGAGGAGTCTTACAACAATGGGTTAACAACTTCTGGCGACCTTTAGCATTTTTCTCTAGACGGTTGCTAGACACCGAATCGAGGTACAGCACATTCGGTAGGGAACTCCTAGCTATGTACTGTGCTGTACGGCATTTTCAACATTATATCGAAGGTCGTGAATTCACCCTTTTCACCGACCATAAACCTCTTACTTTCTCCTTAAGCTCCTCTTTAGACAAGTACTCA